TTGCTGAAGTCCAGATCAACTACATCCACAGTAGTTGCTTCATCGCTGTGAATGCTCCAGAGCAAGAGAACATGAGCAAACCCAAAACACTTGGTTTTGTGGCTAAATGGGATGCATAATCCTGCGGTTAGGGGCTGGAACTGTGAGTGAGCGTTTCTGGGGCTTGTTTTCTTGCTTTGCTGCCATTTTCTGTCGTTTTTAACCCTCCAGGTTTTTCTTTCTCCGTCAGTAAAATGGGAATAAGAAAAGCTCAGCGTGTTTTCAGATCATTAAATAGATTGGTGTGGGGAATCTTTCCGTGCCGGGTGGGAGACGGCACAGGATGTGGTGTCGCTGGAACCGAGCGCGAGCAGCGGCTCCTCTGGTTCTTGAACTAAAAAGCAGTTGGTGGAAGCCAACGGAAGAACGGCGTTATCTGAGAACGCAGTGGGGCAGACCCTGCCCGCCTCGCGTGGCCCCGGGCCTGCGGCGTTCTTGGCTGGTCCCAGAGCATCGAGCCGGAATACACAGAAATTAAAGCAGGGAGACCCCACAGAGCGGGTTAAACCAGCAGCTGAGGTGTGCAGGGAAGAGGTGGAGGAGAGCTGCGATTCTCTTGATCCTCTCACTCTGGAGACCAGGGCCCCTGCCAAGATATTGGGGAGTCACAGGTGGGGAGGGGAGCGGTGCGAGCAGCACGGCCTGGAGGTGCTGTCCTTGATGGGTGGAAGGGCTGGGGGGAAGCCTGCGTACCTGAGAGGCAGATTTACCAATTTACCACCTCTCTGTTTATCAATTCAGGTTTCCAAAACTGGAGAGAAGATTTCCTTGGCATCTATGAGCTACTGAGGCATCTTCTGAGCTCGGGATGGAGCTGGTGAGCGGGCGAGACCCCCACCTCCGAGAGGTCGTGCGGTTTGCGGCGCGGTGCAGAGCCCTGACGCTGCTGCTGCAGGCAAGTCTCCTGTTCCTGAAGCTGCTGCGACGTCTGTCGTGTGCTGCTCCAGGGCTTCCCTCCTCAGCACCACCTTGTACGGGGATATCACCCCCTAGGAGAAGCAGCAGAGCAGCTGCTGTGAAATCACACAGATTTCTTTATAACCTACAATGTTTTCATGCCGCTGTGGCAGCACCAGAGGCTGTTGTCTCTGTTCTCTGTTGTCTCTGTTGTCTCTCTCAAGCAAAGGAACTGCTTGAAAGAGTCCAGCAGAGCCACAAAGTGATGGAGGGAGTGGAGCATCTCCTGCTGAGGAGCGGCTGAGGGAGCTGGGGCTCTTGAGCTTGGAGCAGAGGAGACTGAGGGGTGCCCTCATTCCTGGGGATCCATTGGGAAAGGGCAGTGTCAGGAGGAAGGAGCCAGGCTCTGCTCTGGGATGGCCAATGCCAGGACAAGGGGCAATGGTCCCAAGCTGGAGCACAGGAGGTTCAAGCTGAAGCTGAGGCCAAAGTTTGTGAGTGTGAGGGTTATGGAGCATGGCCCAGGCTGCCCAGAGAGGTTGTGGAGTCTCCTTGTGTGGAGACACCCAAAGCCCTGGCCGTGTTCCTGTGTGACTGCTCTGGTGATGCTGCTCTGGCAGGGGTTGGGCTGGGGGAGCTTTCCAGGTCCCTTCCAGCTCCTCATGTTCTGTGATTCTGTGTTTATCCACACAAAAGGAACAATAATCCCCTCCTTCCAGACAAACCCTTCTCTGAGTGTGCTTGCCCACCCCATTCTACCTGTGCACACCCAGACAGCCCAAAAAGAGCCCGGCTGCAGCCGTGGTCCTCCTGAAACAGAAACCGGCTGGAGAAAGCCCTCGAGCAGAGGCCAGCAGCCAGCTGGCAGGTTGTGACAGCCTCGGTCACTGCCGGGCAGGGCTGAGCGGAGCCATCAGCCGAGTTGAAAGGCTCCGTGTTACGAGTGCCAGGGCCCCGCTCAGAGCAGCTGTGCGCTTCGTGGTAACACGGCGGCTTTGTGCGCCCGTTGGTCCCCATTTGTTCAGCGCAGCTTTTTCTCTTTCCCCTGCCAGCGCTGAATTCACTGCAGGGGACTCAGCCCGGTCTACACGTGGTTAAACTACACAACTCACCATCTGAGGGGTTGTTAACCTCATTTTCATTCGTAATCACATCACAATGCATTGAGTTGCACTCTTCCTGTCTCCTGAGCTCTCTGGGTTGGTTATTTTTCACCTTTTAAGTTGTGGGCAGCACCAGGAGCTCCTGGAGGCAGAGATGTGTGTGTTCTCCTGGTTCATCACTGCGTAGTGAAACCCCTTGGTGCCTGCTGTGCCACAGAGGCGATGGAGGGGTCCAGGGACTGGAGAGGGGGCCTGGGAATCGGCTGCTGCATCGGTTTGCTCTGGGAAAATGCTCTTCTCCAGTTCTGTCTCCTCTCCCTTGTACATCAGCTGGGGCAGTAGTGCCAAATTCAGTACAACAGGGGGCTTACAGCGCTGCAGAGAGCCCCAGCGTGATCATACACAGCTCAGCGGGGCTGAGCAGCTTTCCCTGGCCGTTTCCTTGGGGATTCAAACTAAACGTGTTCAAGAGCTTACTTCACTTCAGATATAAATCCCTAAAAGGTTGTGTTTGCACCTTTTCACAATCCTACAGGCATCCTTGCTGCAAAGCCCCCTCAGCCTGGCTTCTGTGCTCCTCCTGTCCCCTTTTTGAATCCCAGGAGTCCTCCTTGGTGCTTTGGGTGAGTACAAGAGGATCTCTGCTGACTTTCAACCCTCTCTTCTCTTTCCAGGCCGTGTTTAACCTCCTGATCCCAGATCACGCCGCAGATGCCTTCTCTCCTCCTCGCCTGCCCGAGCCTGGGCCGTGGGACCTGCTCGTGGAGCGGCTGCTGGGCGGCCTCTCGCACTGGGACGCGGAGCATTTCCTCTTCATCGCCGAGCGCGGTTACCTGTACGAGCACAACTGCGCCTTCTTCCCGCTGTACCCCCTGAGCGTGCGGGCCGTGGCCGAGGCTGCTCTGTGGCCCTTCGGCTGCTGCGCCTGCGGAGCCGCCTGCTGCTCTCGGCTGCGCTGCTTAATTCTCTCTTTTCCGTCCTGGCAGCCGCTGCCCTGTATGAGCTGGGCTGCGTCGCGCTGCGGTGTCGCAGGGTGGCTTTTCTCGCCGCCGTTCTCTTTGCTGTCAGCCCTGCCAACGTGTTCCTGGCAGCCGCTTACTCGGAGAGCATGTTTGCCTTCCTGGCGTTCAGTGCCATGTGGCAACTGGAGAAGGGGCAGAGCTGGCTCAGTGGGCTGCTCTTCTCCCTTGCTTCTGGGGTGCGAGCCAACGGGCTCGTTAACGCTGGCTTCTTTCTCTACTCCCGCGGTAAACGCTTTGCTCTGCAGCTCCAGGTGGGTTCAGGATCGCTCAGGAAGCTCCCCCCTTTATGGAAGCAGCTCCTTAGCGCGGCGTTTTCGACTCTTCTGACGTGTGCTGGGATTTTTCTGCCTTTTGCTTTATTTCAGTATTATGCCTACGGGAGGTTCTGTGGTCCCGGTACCAACCCAGAGCCGGCTGTTTCCGAGCCACTGCTGCAGCTGGCTCTGGACAGGGGCTATCGTGTGGTGACCACGCATGGGGTTAAACCCCCATGGTGCTCCCAGCGGTTCCCCGTGGTCTATTCCTATATTCAAGACGTTTACTGGAATGTGGGCTTTTTGAGGTATTTTGAGCTCAGACAGATACCAAATTTCTTGCTTGCTTTGCCTGTCACGCTTCTGGGCTCCTGGGCTGCCTGGACCTACATCGTTGCAAACCCCCGGCACTGCCTGACTCTTGGTCTAGAGAGAAGAAGGAGCGAAGAGGAGGGTAAACCCACAGCTGGATTTTGCTGCCCCGCTGTCTTCGTGTATGTGGTCCACGCCACGGTCCTGCTGGTGTTTGGGTTCTTCTGCATGCACGTGCAGGTAGGACGTTCGTAGCAGTCCGGTGACAAGGATTTGAGTGAGATTGTGACAATTAACACCTCGTTTGGCCAAAACCTGGGGACCCCTTGGCTGCTTACACCAATGTCTTAATAAATAAAGCAGGTTGAGCTGCGCGGTGTTTTGTTTCAATGCAATAAATCCGTGAAATGGGGCTGTATTTCAGTCCCCTTTATCAGCAATCCGTTTGAGGCAGATGGATGGCTCCTCTCCAGGGTTGGTCACTATTGGAGCGCTGCAATTTATGTGATTTTTTGCTGTATTTTCAGGTGCTGACCCGGTTCCTTGGCTCCTCATCTCCCGTCCTGTACTGGTTTTGTGCTCACCTGCTTCAAGAACACGAACCTTTGCTGTGGCACGAAGGGACTGGTGATCAAACCACAGCACCTCGCTCCGAGAAGTCTCTGCTAGGGAAACCTGGTGGGAAAGGGACTTCAGAAAACCCTGTTGTGAGGCTGCTGCTGAACTGCAGATTAATTACCCCGCTCAGCAAATGCATCCTCGGATTCTTCCTGTCCTACTGGCTGCTGGGGCTGATTCTGCACTGCAACTTCTTGCCGTGGACGTAACGAGGGCGGGTACTGGTACGGACTGGTGGCGGGGCAGAAGCACTGGTCAGAATTGAAAGTCATTTTTGCTAGAAAGCCTCGTGTGTGTGTAATGGTGCTGTTGTCTGGGTTACAAAGCTGTTACTCCTCGGTTACGGTACGGAGCTGTCGCCACGGGATCGTGTCTGAGATGGGTACATCCATGCTGTGATGCTCCA